TCTTTCCCACCCCCTCCCCCTCTATGAAGATTCAGGTGCTTAACATATCATTTTTTTCCCTGCTGGAATTTTAGCATTGATATGAACCATGGACAAGCATATTCTGCTGCCACAAAGACTGTAAAGTGCTTCATTTCAACAGCTGAGGCAAGCCAAGTGATTAATAAAGCTTTTCTTGGTTCCTTCAGTGGTGTTGGTAGTAAAATGGTAGGTAAAAGTTAGGCTGCAAGTTCAATAAATCATGTGACATTTCCTTTTCTTGGTTTCTTCAGTGGTGTTGGTAGTAAAATGGTAGGTAAAAGTTAGGCTACAATTTCAACAAATCATGAAATTTCCCACCTTTACACCCATGTGTATGCACATTTCTTGGATCAAGCATTTTGAGTGAACGGATTTTTACTAATTACATTTTTAATTTGATAAGGTTATAGCTTTACATGCTTACAAGGATCAGGCTAAGGAGAGAGGTAGGGCAAAATGGTTGAATCAGATTTCAGATAATAGTTTATACTTCAAGTGTTTGTCTACATTATAAATCATGTATCTATCTAGTACTGAATACCGGGGGTATGATTGTAATTTTCCTAATTCCCTACCTTATAGGAGAGATTTAGGTTGGCTGCTGAAATTTCATTTTTTAAATGTCATCAATTTGATTGCCTGGCTTTATTGCCTTTTCAGGAATGTGATAATCAGGGCATATTCTCCTGTATGCACCAGTAAGTCTTCTTTGATCCTAGGACCACCACTGAAGTTATTTAGGTTCTATGGACAAACATGATAAACTTCTTCAGATACTTTTTTTTTCCTTTGGCAGGAAGGTGTCTTGCTGCAGGTAACTAATGAAGAAGTGGTCAACCACAGAGTCTTCAAGAAATAAGAAATTCTGTACCATCTGAAAGTAGTTCTTGTTGGTGCCTTCATTTTAAAAAGCACTCTAAGATTAAAGGGAAATGTTTTCTGATAAAATACAAACTTCATTTAGTATAGGTTCTTAATATAAAACAATTACAAGTTGAGTATTGTTTGTACAAGTAACAAAATCAGCTAGAGATAAATGTATCATGTTTTAAATTAGGTTTTGTGAGTAGACAGATTAAAGTTCTATTTTAAATATAAAATTTATAAAATAAATACTTTTGTATCCAAATACTTGGTGTAATGTTTACACATAAAATGTGTGAATCTTGTTCTATAAACCTTCAGTTGTCTAAAGAATTGCCATCCCCTAGATTTTTAAAGCAGTTTCACAAAGCTGTGCATATTACCATTTTCTATTCAATACTAATAGATGAGAAGAGCATTGTGGACATTATTGGCTGTCCCTAATAAAAATGCCATTCTTTATACACTGTATATTTAGCGTTCGAATGCTGCTATAGTTTCTCTGGCTTTACCCTGTGCGTTCAACATTGCTGGTGGTGGTTTAAGCAGCTAGAGTGGTCCAAGTTAAGTGGTTATGCAAAGCACCAAGACATAGAATCTGTTATAGTTCAAGAAATGTTGCATTTTATCATTATCGGTAGCTGTCTTAAAAGGGTTTTGAGTGTGGTGGACACAATCTAGTAAAAGTGACTTTCGTACTTTGGACATTTACCTGAAATAACAGCATAAAAATATGAAACATGTTAATGTTGGCTTGCTTGCTTTTGGTTTTGATCATGTGAAGTTTATCAGGTAAGTCAAATGAACAGCAGCTAACAGAAGATGAGCTGCTTTGTTTAAAATAGCTATTCGTCAAGGAAACTCACAATACTCGGCTTCAAATTAGGAAAATAACTGCAGGTGTCTGAAGTCTCTAGCTTGATAACGGAGGTAAATGAAGTTGGTGTAACTTTAAAACACCCAACCCTTAACCAGCACACATAATAGCAAAAGGTTTTGATAATATGTAATAAAATCAACAACTATTAACAGGTAATTTTTAGAACTTGAATTAAGGTAGTTTATGTACAACCCAAGACTTATAAAAGAAGATAATAGCTTTGGGGCAGCTGTTTTACACCTTTTCCATCTCATGGCACAGTACAATTTCTGTGGCATATCAAATATTTTCTGATGTGACAAATAGGTATAAAAAACTTACTGCTGCACAACATTACCTTGGTACACGGAGCAATTTAAACCAATAAATTTGTGACCTCGGAGTATTGACAGGTTAGTATTGACAGGTTAACAATTTGGAAGCGAAGCTCAAAATTGCAGTTGTAACTAGACTTGGGAAATATGCATCCCAAATGGCCTGACAGGGCTGGCAAGATTGGTTTGGCTGCTTTCCTTCAGCAGTCCAAGAACAAGGGTCAAAATAGGACCAATGTTATGAAGTGTCACTTGTATTCTGATGGTTGCATAATACAGGTTTTTACTTGTGATCGCGAAGGTGCAAGCATAATTATGGACTGGCTTCCACAAGGGACTTCTCTAGGAACTGGGTCTTCACACAAGATTTTCAATAACCCAGTTTGACTTGGGCCTGCAAGTCAGGTTACTCTGTAAAAGTTACTCTAAGAATTGGTGATTGTATTAAATGTTTAAATTAATTGAGTTAATTTAGTAATCTGGGGAGGCTCTAAAAGAACGTCTCAGCTCCTTAGTAACAACAGCTCAAAAATGTGCCTATGGAGACACTAATCGGAATACCAAAAATGCATGTGCATTCTTGGCCTAATTTTATTCCAATCTTTAACATGCTCAGGTGGTTGGCATGCACCATATAATTTTAATGTCACCACTACAAGTTAATTTCTTGATAAGTTGAATCAGTGGATTATGCAAAAATGAGCAAGTGGGAAATGATCCAGATTCAGAGTATACTAAAAATTATAAAGTGTTGACCAGTAGGCTGGCATCTTGAGGCTTGGTTCTGGAAATTGGTCAATATTGAACTGCGTCTGGCCTTGATAGGGAACAACCCAAATATCCAGAGGTTCTTGTTGAGCACACATTTATTGATTACACTTGACCAAAAATCTGATCTCACCTGAGGATGTTCAGCAGAGCCTTCGTTTGATGGCTGCAGGAGGAAATGAGGTGCTTAGCATGAGATAGTCTGCCAGATTTCACTTTTAAACGGACTTTTATGATGGAAGAGTAATTTAAAAATTACCTAGTTAAATGAGGTTCCCAGCTGGGTGTGGCTCAGCAGGTTCAGCGTCGACCTAGGATCCAGGCAATCGGGGTTCAATTCCCGGTCAGGGCACATGCCTGGGGTGCGGGCTCGATCAATGACTCATAATTGGCGTTTCTATCTCTCTCCCTAACCCTTCCTCTCTGAAATCAATAAAGATATATTTTTAAAAAAAAAAAGTTAAATGAGGTAAGAGTGATTTCATGTTTGAAACGGAATTTAGGTTTGGGTCAATCCACTAAAATCTGAAGAGAAAGATGCCTACCAGAAAACTTACAAGGGCTAACTACCAACAAGAGCAAACTACTTGAGGGTCTAGATCTTGGTCACCTTGAGGTTTATTTTTAAACATCAAATAATTGGGAAGACATTTTGCACAAACCTTGTTTTGATGGAATTGTCTCAGTTCAACAGAGACTCACCTGTGTTAAGACTAACTGGTCTGGTTTAGGTGTTTAAGGAATGGGTCAACAGTTTCAGTAAAATGCAACTTCAGTTAGAACTTGGCCTTTGAAAAGTCCTAAAGTCTGAAGCTGAATAGACTGAATTCCATTTTCTCATAACACTGCCCTTAATTCCATAACCTACATGTTAAAACTACTGAACTAGTAAAGCAGTTTAGGCAACCTTTGTGTTCTCTAATCAAAATAGGGAGTTCAGACAAAATCTTGATTTCTGCTGTTAAAACTGGGTCATCAATGATGGCTGAATTAGCAGCTTCAGGTGACCCACCCTAAATCTGATTATTTTTGTGTAGGGGGGACGATGTGTCAGGAAATTCCGAGTTTTGATTCATTGACCTTTGGTTACAATGCACCAAAATACCTTCCAGACCAAAAGTTTTAAGTCTTAATGTACTAAGTCCCAGTGCTCCACAGGTCCTTTTTCCTTGTGAATTTGATGCTGCCTATTGTGGTCTTGGTAGTTCCAGAGATTTGGGGAGTCTTGACAATACTTGAGTAAAAAGGCCACAAACAATTTTGAAACAACATAAGTTGGTACTGTTGAATTTTATATTTCAGACTTGAAATAATTTGTGGTAAAGTGCCCTGAAGCTGTGATCTAAATACCAAAGATGACATCAGTGGTGATTGTACAAAACTGATCCGAAGAGTGATGTGTCTAGAAGCATTGTGGCAAAATCTAGGGCTTGAAAGAAATGCCTAGGCCCAATTTAAAGTGGAGAAAAAGTTTATTATAAAAATCCACTCTTATAAAACACTGCATTTTTGCAACCCAAGATAACATTGTTAGGTAGAAATATATGACAACCTTATTTTGAAATTAGACAGTACTCACAATAACTCATTTGCATTTCAATTATTTTTAGGATTAATGACTAGTTCAAGTACACTTGTTTCTTACTGTCCTGTTTAATATGGTTTTGGTATTTCCAGTTTGGTTGTATAGTCTATGCTCATCTATTCTTACCCTGCTGTTGGTTTGTGTTCATGTATGGCTTGTAATGTTTTCACACGAAGCTACGCGAGTTTTGGTAAGACATCAATGTTCTGGACGTGAGGCCATCCCTATAGGCTACCTTACTTGCCTGGGAGTTCTTATATATAGGTAGCTCTGTTTTATCTCTAAAACCTGTGACTATCACTGTAGAGCATTGATCTCAGTCATTAAAGTCTAATGCACTCTTTAAAGCTTCATTTTTTTTGTTTTTGACACGTGTTTACAGCTTGGCCATTTTATTTCATATAGTATTCTGTTAAATCCAAGTGGGGATTTCCCTTATCACATTAACAGACCATATTTAGTTCAATTTAGATCAAGCCCTTTCTGCTAAGTATTCACCTGTATTCCTGAATGTAGGTGTATTAGAGGAAAAATAGCCAAGGTAAATTTGCTTAGAATTTCTGTATTTAAAGGAAACGTTAACTTTTTAAATAAATACAAGTATAAAATTTATTTCCACAGAAAAAGTTATAATTTAAGTATTCATAAGAATTAAAATAGCTTTTGAAAAGCTCACTATAATTCAGTGCCAACAAACAATGTTAAGGCTACTCTGCATTTCAAGTCAAGAGCTAAAACTTTTAAAAATAATTGCATCCAGTGCTTGAAGTGACCATCTTACTAAGAATAAGAAGTGGCTACCAAAGTGACTATATAGTCCTATCAAGTTTTTATGTCAGCTACTCGGTACATATTTATGAATTGTGCATAGAATACATGACTTCTTGGAAAGTTGTGGCTTTCCCCAGATTTCCCACAGGCCTTACCTGGGAGTCCTAAACTTGTCCATATAAGCTTCAAAATGTAGCACTGAGTGATTCAAGTAGCAATACTTAAAAGATGCTTATAAAATATTTTGTCAGCTACTCGGTACATATTTATGAATTGTGCATAGAATACATGACTTCTTGGAAAGTTGTGGCTTTCCCCAGATTTCCCACAGGCCTTACCTGGGAGTCCTAAACTTGTCCATATAAGCTTCAAAATGTAGCACTGAGTGATTGAAGTAGCAGTACTTAAAAGATGCTTATAAAATATTTTGAGCTAAACCTTCAAGCCGTTCCAATGGTTTGTGAGCCACGTATCATCTGAACATTACTACTATATACACATTAATGAAATTAATCCATTTTCAATTTCTTCTCTCACTTTTTCTCTTTCCCTTTTGAGTTTCCTTTTTGTGGCCTGAGGTCACCAGTTCCTTGGGTACAATCAAAACACTTCCATCATGGCTGCACTGAAGGGCATATTGGTTTGGATTGACTGGCCTACCTTCATCATCTCTTAACCTACTAAAAATATCATGATAAAGGTCATGCAGTTTCTGTTTCATGATGTTAATAGCTTTGTTACACTGGGCTCGCTCGCTCTTGAGGGTTTCCTTCTTTGCTTGCAAGTTACATACATCATCTTCTAGGTTCAAAATGATGTCCAGTTTGCGCTTCCGACAGTTCTGAGCAGCAACTTTATTTTTCCCCCTTCGTCGAATATCACGGATGAGTGACACTTGTAAATCTGTCAGGTAGTACCTGCTTAGCATGTTGTTGAAGGAATCAACAGGCATGTGGACAATTTCATCTACAGAAAAAGGGATGTGCAGAGCTTTAGCACGGCGCTCATCACGGCTTAAGTTTCTGTCTGTGTCATTCAGGTACCTACTTTTTATTTTCTGTGACTTCCCAGGCCATGGAGAAGATTCAGAAGTGGATTCTGGTACACTTGGCTGTAAGTGGTAAGTGTGGTTATGGAATATGTGTTGAAATGCAAGGTCCCCGTAAAAACCAGAATCATCCCTAAGATCCATGTGACAAATCTTACTGGGCTCCGGGTAGTAGCCTCCTACAGCCCCTTCTAAAGCATGGTGGGAAAGAGATTCAAGGTCACTACTAGAACCCATAGCACCTTCACACACAGAAGAATCACAGTTGGTGGCAGAGGTGCTATTATGACTCGAATTTAAGGAAAGCCCAGAATCAGAATCTGGTTGTTCAAAAAGGTGAGAAACTTCCATTGGATCAAAACCTTCTTCTGTCACCAAAGACATTGAGTTTATCTCATCAAATATGTTTATATCAAGGTCATACAGAAGGTCTTGGCTTGTAAGATTCCTTATCTGCTGGTCAACTGGTGGAAAAACTGCCAAATTAGTTCCAGGAAGGGTCTGTTCAGGACTGGTGGTCTGAGAGTTTAACTGCAGAAATGGTTCCTGTGGCTGTGGAGTCCTTGCTACTGGATCTCTTCTAAATGTACTGTCAGGACACAGCAACATGGCTTCATGGAGGTTGACATCATGACTTATAGCCTGGCTAAAATTCACATTATAATATGCTGAAGAATTCATGCCATCATTGATACTTCCAGGGAGAAGAGGAGTATCTCCCAGTGAGAGGCCCTGGAAAAAGAGCACTTAGTTAGTTCTTACAATATGGCAATTTAGAAAACAATTAGGTTAGTAAAAACCTAGTCTTGCTATTAGATCATTCTAATGTTCTAATCTTACTGTATATTTTACTACTGTAAGATGCAGCTCTCCTAGCTGTTGGCAATCTAAATCTACATTGTGGAGGATCATGGGTAAAAATAGTAATAGTGAAGTAGTGCTGGTTGGGTTGTGTGTGTGTGTCAAAGTAAGACCAATAACGTATAATCATGACACAAATGCTACAAGAAAAATAAAGCTATGCCTTAGTTTGTCAGTGTTGACTGCCATTTTGATTCAATATGAATTATACAAATTCAATTAGACCTTTGGAGGAATAGTATACACATTAGACTAATTCTACAAAGTTGACGTGTTTCTATAAAAAGGAATCCTAAGTCTGTGCTTAAATAGTACATTAGATATTAATTTCTGCATAAGTACTTAAACTATGTCATCCAGGTATAAAGGTTATATTCATTCACAGGTCAGTACAGATATTTTCCTGCAAGGACAAAAAGCCAAGGTTCCAATTACCTCCAGTGAATTTTCAGGCTGTGATGAAAGCAACTGAAATAAGTCTTCCAGAGAGAAAGATGTGTCAGTCCCATTTAGATGTCTCTGTAGAAAAATGCAAAAGGTACATCATTAAAAGACTGAAGTGGTTGCCTGGGTGCTTTGGGTTTTATCTTATAAGGACAACCAGATCTTGTCTCCATGCTGGTTTTTTATCCCTACCTTGGGGTTTTTATACCCCTCCTTTAGGTACTCAATATTCTCATATCCTTTTTAAAATAAGATCCTTCCAACTCCAAACTCCTCCCCTATTCCTGCCCTAACCATCTCCATATAACTTTTGGCTAGAATTGTTTGTTCTATCTTATTTTGCCCCTTCACAGCCAACCCTCCAAATTTGCTACAAAATTACGTAACTTCACAGTCAAATATGTATTTAGATGTGCCAAAATTTTCGACTAACTTCTTTACTCACCATTACGTCATCTGCCATTAAGGTTTAGTTCCTTTCTTGCTGAAATAACTCCTGAATAACTCTTTAGAGGCTCCTCAAGTAGTAAATCTTAGTTTTTATAACCTGGAATTATTTTGCCTTCATGTTTAAATAACTTATTTGGTAAGATGATCAGGTTTAAGGTTTTCCCTCAGTACTTTGTCCATGGCATTTATTACTACTGATTGGCTATAAGATGACAGATTGCAATCTTTTTTCCCCTAGGTAATTTTAAAGGTTTTTTTCCTTATTTGTTGTCCTGCCATTTCACTTTGATATGTTTGGGACTTTGTACTTAGTCTGCTTGGGACTCTATATTCCTTTTCATCTGAGTCACAAGATCATTTTAATTTTGTAAATATTTTGCCATAAACTTTGAAATTGCTTCTCCTTCATGCTTTCTAATCTCTCCTGGGACGATTAGAGAGTTCATCTTTGTCAGGAGCTATTAATGTAGGAATCCCACATATCAAGGGTTACCGACTATGAGACAGTTTTGTGTTTTTTCTCTGCAAGGATCAGTTTTTATATCATTTTCTCAAGTTTGCTTTCTTGGCTCAGGATTCCTGATGGTAATGGTGTGGGTCAGACTCTATAGCTGGCTTTGGGGCCCATTTGGGGTTCTGTTTTCTAAAGGGTAGACAGCTTCCTGGCTGTCTCCTGTCTGGTGGCTAGAATTATCCTAGTCCCCATTTCCTGAACCAAAGAGCCTTTAGAGAGTGTGGTTATTAGACACGAGTCAGGAGGCTGTCCCCACTGGGCCTGGCCTTATTCTAGGCCAGAGGTACAAAATGGGCCCCTGGATGCCCAAGGAGCATGGCCCAGAGGGAGACTGCGGGAGGAGGTGAGCCTAAGCCCCAGCTGGTATTGAGGATGATCTGCCTGCGGGTGACAAGGCATCCTGCATCCGGGAATCCTCACCCAGCCATGGCAAATGGAACTAACAAAACCTGCTAGCAAGGTCCTGGAGGGGTGGAGGGGTGGACACACACACACACACACACACACAATCTTGAGTTTAACCAGGGATAACTAATTCTATGGACTGATTTCCTTTGTAAATCAAATAACCATTCCCACAATAAAAGATTAAAAAACCCAAAATACCTTGTATTTTCCATATATCAGGTTTGCTTATACTAGGTCATACTTATATACAAAATTCATCCTCAACACAAATTGACAAATCCACCTTAAAGTGAGACGGTGACACGCTCACCTCATCCCTAGCTTCCGCGGTCTTCTCCGCCTCCCACTCAGCTTCATCTGCTGTTCTGGCTTCATCTTCATTCTTCTGCGGTAGTGATTTGTCCTTCTGGGCCGACACTCGTAGCTCCTTGTCCTCCTCCTGGGAACTGGGACTCGTAGCTCTTAGTACCTCATACTCCTATAAAAGTACCCCCAAAATGTGCTAAGTAGAAATCCGTATTTCATCAAGTCAGTCAAAACAGTCTTTAAAAGGGCACTGCACTTCCCGCTCCGCGATCATGAAAACACACGAGCCAAAAGCTGACACAGCCACTTCACTATCAAAGAAACGTTTAATTCTGAAACGAAGCTCAGTTTTGTCTTGGCCTTCGTAAGAACTCGCTGAGACAGACTGTTCTAACGTGTATGATTTAAATTCCATGCAGTTACAAAGCCCTTGAACTTGTGGATTTGATTAAATATGGAAAGCAATGTTGCCTGGAGTTTTTTAGTTTTCTGTTGAAAATAGAGCAAACAGCTAATTTAGAAGCAAACACTGATCAAATATACACAGAAAAATCTGGAAAATATTTCAACATAGTAATTGTGGTTCTGTCTGAAAGGTGGGATCAGTTGGGGCAGAGTGCTTAAAAAGAGTGGATTTCACGTTATACATTGCTGTACTGTTTGGATATTTCACAACAAAGACGTAATGCTTTTATACACAGGAAAAAGGTAAATATATTTTTATTCTGAAGAAATAAAGTTACCAACAAAGCTTAAACTAACATCTCTATAGATATTTTCAACTATGCTTATTTAACCGGATGAGTCCTTCCACCTTTTAATTGAGGAGACTTAAATAATTAAAAGGCCAGAGAATTTGTATATTTAGACATTCAAATAGTTGCCATTTAGCATATGTTATATGTACTGATACTTTCCACTATGGTATTAAAACTTCCGTACAATTTCCGCCCCCCTCTAACTTAACCAAGGCTTCTCAAAATCTTTCAAAGCATCGATTTTTAATTTCTCTCTTCCAACAACATAACACTGGACTAACAGCAACCCCCCTCAGCCCAAAATCATAGAAATGTTAATCTTAAATGTAAAAGTCAAACGAAAATCCACATTCCAGAAACAAAGAGAGTAATCAAAGAGCAGAAAAAAGCTGATGTGCTGGTGGCCCACTTGCTTTTCACTTGCTTCTCTGTTCACCACACAGACCTCTGTGACAGGCACTCAACCTCCCTCTTGACATGGGGATGTCAGTCTATCCCACCTCAATCCATCTGTCCATGCGCACACCCGATTACAAGGAGTCCGGGTGCCCGAGAACATTGCTCCTGTACCCTCCCTTCTGCACCAACAATTGTTTCCCATCTCATTGGCCTATTAACTTACAATGGCACCACCCATCTATAAAATCCCCTCCCAGTTTCCGAGAAACCCTCCAGCCTCTGGAGTCAGCGCATCTCTCTGGAGTCCCTTTCAGGGAGGATCTGTCCCCACCAAGGTTCCTCTGAAAGAGCCCATCAGGGCCTCCCCTGGTCGCCGGTTCTCCATCATCCTACTGGCCCCTCGAGCAGCATTCACAGTTGCTCCGTCCCTGGAAACAGGTAGTTTCCATGGCATCCAAGCACCTTCTAGCTCACCACCACTTTGTTGCTTGTTGCACCTTCATCTTTACTGTCTCTAAAAATGGCAATGGCCCAGGGCTCAGCCTCAGGCACCGAGCCTCTCCCACCTCCAGACTGTCAGGAGCGCTCCCTCTGATTGCTTCCCGCTCCCCGCCACCCCCCTGTGGCTTCCTTTCAGGTCCCTGTTCAAATATTAGGATCTCACTTTCAGGCTGGTCCTGAGGGCGGGGACTCTGTCTGCCTGGTTCCTGCTGTATGACACACAGTAGACCTTTAATAGGTATTTGTTAAATAAACTTCAAGACACAACATCCTAAGACGGGGGTAGGGATCTGACTTCTGGCAGGTGAGATCCACAGTCTTGCTCTTTTCTGCAATTACAATGCTGACTCCTATTTAAATTTGGGGAAGGAAGGAAAGGGTCATGACTCTTCAGACCTCTATTTTTTTGCCAAGGCNTCCTAAGACGGGGGTAGGGATCTGACTTCTGGCAGGTGAGATCCACAGTCTTGCTCTTTTCTGCAATTACAATGCTGACTCCTATTTAAATTTGGGGAAGGAAGGAAAGGGTCATGACTCTTCAGACCTCTATTTTTTTTGTTTTGTTAAAGTTTGTTTTGTTAAATCTGAAGGTAATCAAATTCTAACTTCTGGATTCCTGAGGCAGCTGATTTTGTTTACAAATTTGCTGCTGGTGGGCATGGGAGCTTCGAATCCCTAAATCACAGGATCGATTTTTAGATGAGGCAAGGTACCCTGAGTTAATACAACACATGTGGACACACACATGAACTTGCAAACATCTATCTGTAAGGTTATATCAATAAACAACAGCAGAGGGAACTAAGACTGTATCAAGCCCATAAAGAAACGGACCAAGTAAACTTTAGTCGGAAACATTTTTTAGAGTGTATGAGAGTTTGGTTTTAACAAAGGTATGTAAGATGGCTTAACTAAAAACGGGAAGAAAAGAACTGAAGGTAGAGAAATTCTGTATGACCACACTCACATTGCAAGAATCATTTGGTTAAAAAGCCTCTCATATAATAATATCACTCATTAAATGTGTTTAAAGAATCATTGACTCCATTTGACTACAAACAAGCAAATGAAAAAAGGAAACCTCTTTGTATAGTAGGATGCACCTTATAAATATACAAAAATGGTTAGAAAATCATCAATGGATGCTAAAACTAAGAAGCAAAAATCCGATGAGAAACAATAGGTTTTGTCTCAAAGCATCACTCCAGATTATTTTTTTAATTACTTAGAGAAAATTACACTACATGAAAAACCTGGCAAATACCATCTAAACCAAGTGTTCAAATCTATTGCCACAATATGGAGATAAACCAACATCAAGCACCTCCTACTATGATATGGAGGACACATTACTTCTGTACTACTCCTGCCCCAAATTTATAATCTCAACATAATCACAAGGAAACATCAGACAAATAAAAATTGGGCCCATTTTGCAAAGGAACAGATTGATACTCTTCCAAAATCTAAAGGTCGAGAAATCCCAAGACTGAGGAAATGTTTTCTAGATTAAAGGTGACTAAGAGAGACGTGACAACTCACTTCAATAGGTGGTCCTGGGTTAGATGCCGACCCAGGAGGAAAGGTGTTACGAGACATGACTAGGGCAAGCGATAAACTCTGAATATGGACAATAGACTATAGTCTTAGGCTCATGGTAAATTTCCTGATTTTAATAATTGGTTATAGAGCAAACTGTTGTCCTTAGGAAATATACATGGAAGTATTTGGGTATCAAGGGACACAATGGCTTCAATTCACTCTTGAATGTTTCAGAACAAAAAGGATTATGTACTGTGTGTCTATACAGAGATAAATATCATCAGAAAAATAGATAAGTCAAATGTGGTGAAATGTTAACAGGTAAATCTGAGTAAAGGACATACGCTATTCAAGCAAGTGTTTTAAATTACGAAGTTATCCTAGCCCAGCCGTAGTGGCACAGTTGGTTGAGTGTCATGCTGTGCACAGAGAGAGAGAGAGAGCTGGGGGGGGGGAAGGGGCATGCTCCATAGGGAGAGCCGCCTAAATTTTTTTCCAGTTATAGTTGCTGTACAATTTATATTAGTTTCAGGTCTACAACAACGATTAGACATTTCTGTAACTTACGAAGTGATCAACTTGGTAAGTCTAGTAGCCCTCTGACACCACACAGTTATTACAATACTACTGATTACACAGCCTATGCTACACTTTACACCCTTTACTGGGATGCTTTTAATGTTTCACCAGTGAGGATGACATGTGGGCTTTTATTTGAGATCCAACAGGCAATTATTTTTTCAGTCATTCGTTCAACCAATATGAATACCAAAGACCACACTAAATGCTGGGGATAAAATAGTGAGAAAACACACCCAGACTGCCCTTTCAGAGCTCACATTCTAAAGGGAGAGGGAGCCAAAAATACAGGCGAACTAACAAAATAATTGCAGGTTTTCTGGCAAATGAAAGAAGAAAGAGGGGACTGCTCAGCCGGTTTGGCTCAGTGGTTGAGCATCGACCCAAGAGGTTGCCGGCTGGATTCCAGGTGAGGCTTCATGACCAGGCTGGGAACTTGGTCCCCAATAGGGGGAAGCTGATTGATGTTTCTCATCAATGTTTCTTTCTCTCTCTCGCTCCCTCTCTAAAAAATCAATAAAAACATATTTTTTTAAAAAGAAGAGGGGACCTACTTTAGAGAGAGCGGTCAGTCAGGGAAGGCCTCTCACCTAGGGAAGGTGATATTTTAGCTGCGATCTAGAGAGAGAAAGAGCTGCACGACAAGAGGAATGTGTTCAAGGCACAGAGAATATCCATGTTGGGCTCATCTGCCTGTTACTGTAACGTACTTAATTAGCTTCTTAATGATGGATGTTTAGCTGTTTCCATCTTTTCTTATAACAAACAATAGTAAAACGTGCTCATCAATACTTCTTTGCACACACGTACAATTCCTAGAATTTATGCTGGCTCAAGAGATATGTATAGTTTTTATCTGATGGATTCTACCCACCAGGCCTTCAAAGACACTTGTGGTCATTTAAAATCCTACCAACAATGGATAAAAGTGTCAACTTGTAGATGAAAACTGGCATCTCATTGTCATTTTAATGTGTATTTCTCTTATTAGCTGAAAATCTTTCACAAGTTTAAAAGCGTTTGTATTTCCTTTTCTGTGACCTGTTTGTGGCCTTAGCCCGTTTCTCTGCTGGGCTGTTAGTCCTGTTCTTATTGATCAGTGGTAGTATCAGATCATTTTTACTCACCTCCTCCCACCCAGTCTCTGCAGCAATGCAAGAATGGGAGTGAGGAGCCCAGGCAGGCTATTGCAATAATTGGAGAGTAGATGAGTCAGGAAAAAGGTACTGGTAACTGACAGAGAAGTGGAAGAATCCATAATATATTGAGGGGAAAGAATAGCTAGGGATTGTTGGTGGACTGGAAATGGGACATAAAGGGAAGGGAAGAATTAAGAATGACTCCTAGAGTTCTGGCTTCAATAACTGGTGGATGCTTATGAAGAGAGCAGTGT